CAAGCCATGAAGCGCTGGGCTTCTCCACCGCGGGGACAGCACTGTCTCGGGGCTAGCTGCAGTGGGCGCGGAGACAAGTCACAAACGCCCCTCATCCACAGAACACACAGCACAGTTTCAGGAAATGCTTCCCTCCCATGAGGACCATGGCCTGCGGCACTTGTCAGTACAGGGCAGTAGAGAAGGGTCTAGGCAGCACCTTGTCTAACTCCTCATTGTTTGGACAGGGGAACGGAGGCCCGAGGCCCAGCAAGCAGGGGAGGAAGACCGAAGCAGCTTGCCCTGAGCTCCCTGCCCCTGCAGGCCGGCACCCTCATCTCCTGCCATTCACGGTTCAGTGAAGCCCGCCTAGGGCGAGCGCTGGAAGCCAGGTCTTGCACTGGTGCGCTTGGGGAATGAGGGCAGTCAGGGGACGCCCACCCTGAGTTGCAGCAAAGACTCTCTCGTTTTTGGATTAGAGGCTGTACGTTCTGAGACCCCTGGGAGTGCACTGTACATACGTAATTACGTCTGTGCACACTGTCTCCACAGCTGCTTAAATAGTCACACGCGTGGAGGGCCAGCAGGTGGTGGTGGTGAAGGTGCTGGACTCCAACATGGCCGACTACAGTTCAAGTCCCAGACCTGGTGCCTTGAAAATCACACCAGGACATGTGTGTGCATGCCTAACACCCCAGGAAGATGGGGGAGGAGAAGGGATTGCAGCGTGGCCATCCCTCCTAGAAAACAAAGGAAAAATTACCCACCCTGAGCTGCAGCAGAGAAATCATCCAGGGGGCGATTTTTCACTTTCCCTCTCTGTGTCTCTGTTTTTATGGTGAAAGCATGTACCCTACAGCAAAAACTAAACAAAATAAAAATAATAAAAAAAGAAAAAAGAAAAGAAAAGAAAGAACCAGCAAATGGCGTAATAGGTAACGTCACTGGGCTCCCATGTGGTCTTCTGGGGTTCAGGTCTTGGATCCAGCAGCTTAAAACTCACACCAGGCATGTGCGCACGCGTGCCCAAAATCCTGAGAGGAGAATGGAGGAGGAGGGATTGCAGCATGGCCGTCCCCCCTGCAGGGTGATTTCTCACTTTCTGTCTCTCTGTCTCTGTTTATCTGGTGAGTGCACGCGCCCTATAGCAAAAATCTCTTGTCTAAAAGAAAGAAAAAAGAGAAAATGAGAGAGCCAGCAGGAGGCATGGTGGTAAAAGGTGCTGGATCCCACATGGCCAATTCCATGGTTTGAGTCCTGAACCTGGTGGCTTAAAAAATATGCTGAGCATGTGCATGCGTGCTTAAAATCCTGGGAGGAGAAAGGAGGAGAAGGGACAGTGGCGTGGCGTGGCGTCCCCACCCCGGGGACCCTGGTGGGGGGGGATTTCTCTTTTCCACTATCTCTCTCCAGCGAGCAGACATGCCCTATGGCAAAAACCTAATGATATCAAAAGTAGAATCATAACATGACAGTGGGGAGGGGCTCCAGGTGTCAGATTACGGCCGTCTTCCCACTCTGCAGAGCTGGAAACTGAGGCCCCGTTAGGCCCTGCTGTGGCTCGCAGAGGAGCTGGGTCCCCAGGCAGCTCCCAGCTTTTCTGAAAGTCCAGGCCTCCCAGCACCCGACCTCTGCCAGTCACACGTGCACAATCAGGGACAGCATCCGCTCCCATGCATGGATACACCAGTCACGTGCATGGGGAGGGGTCCCTGACACTGTCCTGCCTGGGGCCCTGCCGGGGCAGCACCCACATCTCCCTGTTGGGCAGATAGGAAACGGAGTCCCTGGGGTGGGTGTGCCAGAAGGGGTCGGGGCCTACTGCAGTGGTCCCAGGACAGCCGGGGCCTAACTAGACATCTCTTGCCATGCCCCGAGCCCCACCATGGCGAAATCCTAACGCAGCGTCCCAGGCCGGGACTCACGCCCTTTCTCCTGCCCTCCCAGGTCATCGTGCAGCGGTCCCTGTCTGCCCGGGACCTGAACCACGCCAAGGCGGGCTCCGTCCTCGCCAGCTACCTCAAGATGCTCCCCATGGGTCTGATGATCATGCCGGGTATGATCAGCCGTGTTCTGTTCCCAGGTATGACGGGCTCTGGGTGCTGAGCCGGGCCGCAGGAAGGGGGCAAAACGGGATGGCTGCTTTTTCCTGGCCTGGAGGGACAGGAACAGTGGTCCCCGGGGCCCCAGTCTAAGGGATGACGTGGAGGCGGCTCGGTATGAGGTCGCAGCAAGAACGCTTTCTGGCGTGTTGTCTCGAGCGTGTATGGAACACCTGCCCCGCCGTTCCCGTGTCTGCAACCTGGCCTGTACCACCCTCCCAGCAGGGCATGGCCACCTTGTCCCTCCTGGTGGCCAAGACCTCTGGGGTAGGACTGTGCATTCCCTTAGGGGCTTCTTTAGGACTCTGGGACTGAGGGTCACAGCCCCACCCCCGCCCATCCATTCGCGTCCCATCTGTAACTAGGGAAGTCATGGGAGGAGAGAGCTGACAGGCCAGCAGGTGGCAGCTCTGGGGACTTGGGCGGCTTGCCGGGAGGGGTCCCGTGCTCCCTGGGGGCAGGACGCGCCAACCCACCTGTGCCTCCTTGTCTGTGGGGCGCTGGGCCTGCGTCCTTCTCGACGCATCCGCCTCTTCTCTCCCCTGACCCTGGGTCCACGGGGAGCCACCCAAGGGTCCACCGAAGGTCCCACGAGTTATATGGGGGGCACTGAGCTGTCGGCGGGGTGGCTGGGCTGGCCCGTTGGCCACCTGCTCTGAGTGGCGCCTCTGGAGAGGGACTGAACGGTCTGTCACCTCAAAGTACTCGTCTGACACGGAGGAGGCAGCCAGGGAAGGCCGCCGGGGGCCAGGGCTGGGGCTGGAGCTGCCTGAGAGGCTGTCCTGGTCACTGAGGGTCACGTAGTCATCATCGTCTTCCTCCTCCGGCCCGTCCAGCCCGTTGGGGATCCCTGTCTCCAGGCCCTCGAGGTCATCCTGGGTCACAGACAGCTGCCGCTGCAGTGGGGCGTGGCCTGGGCCCACTGTCCTGGGCAGCCTGTGGTCTGTCCCATTCTGGGCCGTTTCCGCATCCAGGGTGTCTGGGGTCCAGCCAACACCGCCCCCGTCCTGGGCAAGGAGGTCAGCCACGGGGACTGTCCGGGGCTTGGGCAAGGGTGGACGTGGCTCAGGGCTCCCTGGAGAGAGGCCGTTCTCGGCGGGGGCCCTGTCCTTGGGGGCGCTGGGCCCTGGGTGTGGGCGGGGCTCCGGGCTGGGGCCGCCCTCCTGGCTCTGCCGCCATAGCTGGTGCTGGACGCCGGCCTGGGACGTGTCGCGGATCTTGATGCGGTTCATCTGACTGGGCTGGGGGTTCCAGATGTTGGGGTCGATGATGTTGATGTAGCCCAGGATGTCGCTGCCAGGCTCGGGGTCCGGCTCCACCCAGGTGGGCAGGTACTCAAACATGTTGGCCCTCTCCAGGTTGAGCAGGCCGGGGTGGACGGGCAGCGGCGGCTCGGGGAGGTCCCCCGGCCGCTCGGCCAGCGCCGCGCCCCGCAGCCCCGGGGCCTTCTTGGCCTCCTGCTTCTCAGAGGTCTTGCCGAGCTCGTCGGCGCTCTTGGCCTTCACCAGCGCGTACTTGGGGTTGACGAGCTTCTTGGCCACCGTGCCCGTGGGCGCCAGCGGGACCACAGACGGCAGCACGATGGGGTCGGGCTCGGGCTCCTTCTCCATGGGGACGCCCTTGAGACTGACGCTGTGTGACATGAGGTACAGCTCCTGGAACTGCCGGTCGAACATCTCCACCACCTGGCCAGACAGCACCGAGATCACGTTCCGGTCCGTCCTCGCCGCCGACCACGTGAAACTGCAACACGGGGACAGCCATCAGCCACACGAGGCTGCGTGCGCCCGCCACGCCCACCACGCCCCTGCTGGCACGCATCAGCCCGCAGCTTCCCTGGGAGGGGCAGTGGGCAGGGCAGAGGCCCAGGGATGGGGCAGAGGGCCCTGCAAGGGGCACAGGGCGGGGTAGAAGGCCCTGGAAAGGGCAGGGGGCAGGAGAAGCGGCAGTCGGCAAGGCAGAGGCTACAGGGCTGGACTGGAGTCCTTCAGAGCCGCTCCCAGCTCAGTTAAACCAGGCAGTCGCGGAACTCACTAAGGCTGCTCATGAACGCCCAGTGCGATCTCAGACAGTGACAGCTGGCTGTCCAGCACGTGGTGGCCAGAGCCATCATCGGTATCTTTGCCATCCCCCCACGTGACTATGGGGCAGTCTCACCCTGCCGTCCCCTGTGGATGGTGCCTACAGACCTGGGCCACCACTGTCCCCAAGGACAGCTCTCTGAGTGACCATCCTGTGGACTTGGTTAGGCACGGCCCGGCCTATATACTTCCCACAGCCAAGCTGGTGACACCTTGGGCTGGAAAAAGTCTGCTCAGACAAAAACCCTCCTCAGCCTGCCCTGGGGACAGAGGGTGGGCAGGCTGGCCATGACCCCACGTCAGTTTGGGGACTGGTGACGAGGATGCCGGAAGTCAGGGTTAATGGCTGATGCCGGCTGGACGGATGGCATTTCTCCTGCGGCCCTGAAAGCTGGGGAGTCACCTGTAGGAGCCACACGCGGCCCGATCTCCGTCCACGAACATGAACTTCTGGGCCAGGGCGCCCTTGAACTTGGTCGCAGACCGCGTGAAGAACTCGGTCCCTCCGATGCTGCGCACTCTGAGGTTCTGTCGGGAGGGGGAGGCAGAGTGACACACACGGGACTGGCCCCACGGGGCTTGCAGGGCTTCAGCGGAGTGCGTGGGGGCAGAGCCTAAGGTCTGGGGCGGGGGTCAGGGTGAGACCCGAGCTGGAGAGGCAGCGGGGCTGGGAAGAGGCTGTGCGCGGGACCAGGCCAGTCTGGGGAACGTGCTTCCCTGGCGGGCTGCGGCGGGCCTCAGGCAGGAAGGCAGTGTGTGCTCGTGTTAGAAGGACCCGCTGGACGGCAGGGGCAGGACCCCAAGGTGGGGACCAGCCGGCCTCTGGACACGCGGCGGGCGGGCCGGCGTGCTCCGGCGGGCTGCCACCC